TGGCCCATCCCTTCACTGTTATCTCTGCCTGACATCCCCTTCATCACCCTCGCCTCCTTGTGCACATTTAGAAAGAAGTCTCTAGCTGGTCTCTCTGATGACAGTCTGTTGCTGTTCCTGCTGCATTCGTTCACTGCTCCCCCACTTCTGATGTCTGGGGTGTTCCAAGATGCAAGTAATCTCTTCGGGTCTCATTTTCTTTCTAAGAATGTTTCAAATGCCTCTTTACTGTTGAATGTACATCTTTTTTCAGTTATGGTTAAGCTCTGATTTGCAGGCTAGGGTTACCCTGAGCTGTATCATAAGCTCCACTGCTTTTTGAAACATGTTATTTAATTCTTTCTTGAATTTTCTGGTGAGTGCAAAATAGTCTTGTGTTATTTGAATTTCCTTACCTTTATATACGAAAGTCAGAATCTCCTGGATCACTTTCAGAACTTACTGTTTCTGAATTGAATTATTCAATTTAACCACCATGTACCTTGCAGTTTGCGGCCTTAGTTTTGCTTTGTTTTTCCTGGAGGCAACCTACGAATCCTTTCAATGGGTATTCCATGTTCTTGGACAGTTTTCTTCCATCATTTCTTGCATTATGATGTTCAGGCTACTTGAAGTGATGTTCTTCTGGGAGGCCCAGCATGCTTACGTTGTCTGCACACAGCCTGTCTGCCTTCAACAGAGAGCATGTTTTCTTTTAATGTTATTGTTTTTCGCTTCTCTGCTTCTAGACTGACCTTCATTTCTGCATATTTCCTTTCCTAATCCGTTGTTCTTTCTTTTGTTTCTTCAGTGAGACATGCCATAACTGATTCAAGTTTTTCTAGTCTATCGATTATTTTTGTTCTTCAGGCCAATATTCTGCTCTCATAATTTTCACTTTTATTTTAAACCACTCTGAACCAGCTTCTTGTGTTTTCATGTTCTCAAATGCCAAAGGATCCTCTTCATGAAATTTTGAATTGTTTTCTTTTGTTCTGCAGTACATAATCACAGATGCCTGAACTTATTCATTAGATCTGAAGGCCATATTTCTTTCTACTCTGTTTTCCCTGTTGACTTACCTGCTTATCTTTAAGGGTCTTTGATTTCTTCTTCCTGAGATCTTTGATAATTTCAGTCTTCTTCCCCCACTGCTCACTTTCTGACTCCCTCCCCACTGTTGGTGTTTCACCTGGGGGATGGATCTCAAAGCGCCTCAGTCTCCTTCCATGCTGGGCAATTCACTGTTCACCAACCTAGGTCTCTGCCCCAAGTGATTTTTGGGAGTACAGAACTGCCCCAGCTGGATGCTAAGCTCTTTTCCTCAGGCTCCGTGACGTGCCCAGAATATCCCACAGTGTCCCGGTCCCATTCCTGCTGTTCCTCAGCTCTCTCTGGCCCAGCAGAGTGCTGCCAACTACAAGCAGGAGTGATTTTTTCCATTTGGCGTTTGAGTCTCTGAGGCTCTAGGAAGAAAGATCAGTCAGGATATGAGGGTGAGCTCTATTTCTTTCCCTCTGTTCCACCGTCCTACAGAAATCTTTGTAGCACAGAACACCGGTTCTCCATGGCACTAGAAACAGGGAGAAGAGACCAGGGAGTGGGACTGGGTTTTGTTGGAAGCCCATGGGTCAGGTTATCCGATCAGTTAGTGCAGCCTTACTGAGTGTGGTGGTCACTACAGAAGACGGTGCTGCATACACTCAGGATAGGTATCAGTTTATGGATTTTTGGTCTTTTTGTTTTTAAACCTTCTTTGAGTTCTAGGTGTCCCAGACTATGGAGACAGCAGTTGCTTTATCTGTGATGCATAATTTTTGTTTTGGAAAGGTTTAAGGGGTCATGAAAATCAGTGTTGGTCACATGACCAGGAAGTAAACATTTACCTTTTGCTCTCTAACTGGGTCCTCCAGAGTAAGCCAGTATAAGTTTCCTATATATTACAGTAAGCATAACTGTAGATACCACCTGAAAGCTTAAGCTGCCCCAAAACACAATCCATCTGGCAATGTAGAAATGCAACATATTTATACTCCTCTTCATTGGTCTCCTGTATATTTGTGTGTTCTTTTAATCTCTAGAGGCCTATACGATTAGGGATAAAGCAGGAGTTTTTAAAATTGAATTTTATTTTTTTCAATTAACAAAAACCTATTTTCTCTCTCTCCCACCTACCTATCTACACTGGAGAAAAATTAAAAAAAGAAAGAAAAACAAAACCCTTGAAACAAAACAAATTTCTGCACTGGCTCTATCCAAAAACATATCTCATTCCGCATTCTAAGCCTATCATCTGTCAGGGAGGAAGTGGGTAGGATGATGCATCTTCTATTCTCTGGAAGCATGGCGGTCACTGCACTGATTAGAGTTCTCAAGTTCTTCAAAGTTGTTTCTAGTCACAGTGTTATTCTTCCTGTATATGTTTTCCTCCTGTTTCTGCTCACTCAGGTTTCAATTTCTCAGGACACAATGGTATTCTAACTCATACGCAATAACCTGTTCAGCCATACCCCAATCAGCAGGCACCCCTTACTTTCCCGCTCTTTGCCACTACAAAAGAGCTACTGTAAATACTTTCGTATATAAGGAGCATTTTCCTCTGTCACTGCTCTTTTTGAGGGATCAGTTCAGTGCCTTTTAGGCACAATTCCAAATTGCTTTGTAGAAAGGCCAGCCCAATTCACAGCTCCATTGACATTGCATTGAAGTGCATGACTTCCTGCAGCCAGGATAAAAATAAACATTAAAAAAAAAACCCCAAAGAGGAAAGTTTCCAATACCAAGATATTTATGTCAGCACTTTTTGTGATAGGAAAGGATTGTAAACAAAGGAGAGACCCATTTATTGGGGAACGGCTAAACAGATTGTGGTACGTGAGGTAATGGAATATTACTATGCTGTAAGGCAGCCGCGTCAGACTCAAACAGAAACAGATCCCCGCTAGCTATATTTTGACTTAGAAAATAACAAATTAACATCATCTATGTTTTGTTAAGCATTTCCCAATTTAATCTAGTTCAGACTGTGAGTACGATACCTCTGTCATAAAAACTACAATTATTATGAATACAGGGAAAGACAGAAATATTTTACATGATTTGATGCAGGGTGAATTAAGCAAAGCCAAGAAAACAATATACACAAGGCTACAACAATGTAAATGGAAAGACCACAAAATAATCACAAATTAATGTTGCAAAATTACAAAGAACAAGTGTGGCTCCAAAGAAAAAATATGAGAAGACATTCCTACCCCACTGCTTTGGAGAGGTAAGAGATCCATGGGTGTGCTATATTGCATTTGTTTTCAGTCTTTTTTGATGTACTGATCAGTTTTGCTGATTTTTTTTCTTCTCTTGCTTTTTAAAAATATTATTTATTATACAGTATGGCTATCTGAGAGGGCGGAGGGAGAGGGATATTGGGAGAAATTCTGGTGATGTAAAAAATAAAAGATATCAATAAAAAATTTTAAAACCATTTCTTTTATTATGATACTACCCTAGCTCAAATATCTATGCTCTATTGCCTACCACATCAAGTGTAAACCGATTTGCCTTTGTTCCAAGGTCCCAAGACCAAAAAGAAGCCAGAGACAGAGTGATCTGAAGGTCTGCTCCTTGGAAATCAGTTTGGGGCAGCTACTTACATTTCTGATTAGTCAAGTGCTACAAGATATTAAAAGAAATGAGCAGGTTTTAATGCAATATTTCAGATTTAATTCCCTGAAATATAATACTCTGAAAGGAACTTAAAGAACTTTCTCTGAACACATAATTCTGAGACCAAGTAATCATGAACATCTGAGGCCTTGTCCTTTCATACAGCAAAGTGGTGAGATAAAACAGGAAGAGCAATGAACTAAGAGCAGTGAGACCTGGATTCCAGTCCCAACTCTGTCTCTGAACCTTGTCTATAAAATGAGGGGTGAGACAATGGTGAAGAGACGAGAACTGGAGGAAGGGAAGGTGAGGGAAGGGCAGTGGGAAAGGAGAAGGAAGACACGAACTGAAGAAAGTAGAGAACTAGAGCTGGAAGAGGATAATAATCCACGGGTTATTATTATATAACCCAGCTCTGAGATTCTGTGGGGTGAGCTAATTATTTTCATTTAACTTTTATTCTTAGCGTTTCCACATCAGATTAAGCAGAAACAATAACAAAACCAAGCTGTAGGATAATTGGGCGCTTTATAAAGTATACACATTCCAACAGTTCTCACACATGTAGTGAATACATCATAAATAGATGCACCTCATTTATTCTCTGTTGTACACCTTACTTACACTCCACGTGGTGTGTTTTATGCTAAAGATTTCCAGTGGACCTTCTGGTCCTATAGAGCTGGTATTTTGTTTTCTGTCAACAAAAGTTAAAAGGATCATCCAATCCTCTAAGAAACAGCTACTGTTCCTGGAACGTAAAGATGTTTTAAACTGAAACGTCTATTTGTTCTATGTTATCGCCTCTCTTATATGACATTTAAGTTGGATCCTAATATTTCAGCGAAGGGTTTACATATTGTAGGACACTGTCTCCAAGCAATTCTCCTTGTATAACCCCCTAGTAAAAGAATATTTTCAGAAGTATGCTGATATAAGAAAAATTTTTGAGGAGAGCCCAGGTGTCGTATACCATGGAACTAGCAACCTAGAATTGGGCCCTTTTGATGCCTGAGAATGCATTAGACAATGGACCATTTAGATTAAAAATGTGATCAATGTTTCTAGCTAGTGAACTAGAATTTAATTCCTCCTACTATGTAATCAGGACCTCTCCTAAAGAGCTCCTTATGAAGAAGAGTATAATTTTAAATTTTAGATCATTTCAGCCATCTAGTGGTTTTTTCAATGACATCACCTGAAAACTATTTACATTCTTCTTCCCTCCTCCTAAACAAATGTAAACTTCCTATTTTGACAAGTAAGAATGCTTACAACTGTTGGCAGTTAACAAACTGCAAATGGACACGTAATGAAGCTTTCACTTGGCTCAAAATAAAGTATGAATCCAAACATACCTGTGTCAGAAGCATGAAAGCATTATCAGCTCGGAGATTTTTCTTTAGAAATTCCACACAGTGTGCCTCAAGAGCAGGAACAGCATACTTTTTAGCTGTATAGAGTGTGGTCATAACAGTCTCTGGCCCAATCTGAACTTCATCAGAATAAAGAAATCTGAAAGACAAAACATCATAGGTCCAGTGAAATAAGAACTGTTTTAACTGAAAAACAAATACTAAAGTACCTATTATGTAACAAGGCCTACTCCTCAAGGAGTACTGTACCTCCCCTCAAAGAGATTACATTTTTGCTGGAGGTAGATGTTAAAACATACACAAAGATAAAAGACAAGTTATATAGTAAAGGCAGATCACTACCAACTGGAAGGCACGAGAAGGAAGGTGGCATGAAAGAAACCAGAGGTTCCAAGAGGTAGGAGAAAGAAGGGAAAGTATTCAGATATTGAGGAAAGGCTATGCAAAAATGAGATGCAAAATGTCACATATGGGAAAAACAAATAAGCTAGATCATATATGATGGCTGGATCATAATTCTATGTATTAAGTCTGGAAACATATATTTATGTCAGATTATAAAGGACTTCCAATGCCAAACATAGGAGTTTGGATTTTATTCTAGAGGCAACAGGTGGCCATTAAAGCTTCTTGAGCAGGGGACTGTCCTGCATAGACCCTATGCTTCAGGAAGGTGATTCAGGCAACTGTGTCTTCCTCTGTTAGAATGTAAGCTCCTTGAGGGCAGAGACTCTCTCACTTTTGTATTTTATTTACCAGAGTATAACAAGCTCCTAGAATATAGTAAGCACTTAATAAATTCAGTTTATAGTGTTGTCCTCACAGAAATAGTTAAGTGAGGAGGAGGGAAAGGTTTAATCAATCAACAAGCCTTTATAAAGTACTTACTACGTGCCAAGCACTGTATTAAGTGCTAGGGATAAAAAAGGAAGCAAAAACAGTCCTAGGCCTCATTAAGTTTATACTCTAATAGGAGACAGAGCTATAAACAAGATACACAGAGAGTTAACTTAAAGTGGAAGGCATTAGCAGCTGGGAGGGCCAAGAAAAGTTTAAGTTGAAAGCTGCAGTCCACTTTAGACATGTCAAGTTTGAGATATAGAAATGTCCTACAGTGAGTTGATGATTTCAGTCTGGAGCTTAGGAGAGGGATGAGGGCCAAGTACATAGATTTCAAAGTCATCTGAATAGAGAAGATAATGGGTAAATAAAGAAAAGAGGTCCAGGAACTGATATCTAGGGTAACACCCACATTTAGGGAACATTCTATGGAGAAGATGGAGAACTGGTTAGACCAACAGGAGGAAGATCAGGAGAAAACAGGGTTACACAATCTGGGGACACTAGAGCAATCATCAGTGGTTGACAATGACAACAACTATAGAGGTTAATAATGAGAAAAAAAACTGCTTTAGCAACTAAAACTGCTGATAACTTTCAAAAGAGCAGTTTCAGGGAGGGAGGAAAAGAACAGAAGGAGAGGAAAGGAGAAATAAACTGCTGATAACTTTCAAAAGAGCAGTTTCAGGGAGGGAGGAAAAGAACAGAAGGAGAGGAAAGGAGAAATGAAGGAACAAACGAATAGATGAAGGGGGGGGCGGACGAATTTATTAAGTGCTTATTTACTATGTACCATGCACTGTGCTAAAAACACTGGGATACAAATACAAGCAAAAAGAAAAGTCAGTACCTGCCCTCAAGGAACTTACATTCTAATGGTGGAAGACACACAAAAGGAATTAAAAAAAGAGAATAAAAAAATGGAGGCTCCAAGAGAAACTCACCAATGGGAGGGGGGGCACAGGCCCTCCGAAGCGATATTCCAAGGTAAGAAAGTCACAGGGATAGTAGGTTGCTTCTGGACAAGGGAGGCCCCAGGTTCTGAGGGAAGTTCCAGGATGAGACAGAAATGGAGGAGGCATGGTTTTGAATCTAGGGCCAAGAAGAGGATGAAGGCAGGTGGGCCTGGAACCTTCCATAAATGGAGGCTCCTTAAGAGGCTGAGATGTGAATGAGAGGTGAAGAAGTGAAGGCAATTAGTGCAAATGATGTTTTCTAGCAGTTTAACTATGAAAAGTAGAGATCTAGAACAACAGCTTGAGGGGATCAGCAGGGCCAAATGAAAATTGTCTAGAGACCCTACATTTATAGTAGCACAGAACCAGCCAGTGGATAAGGAGAAAGTGAAGATTAGAGAGGAAGATGGAATGGTTAATCTGAACAAAATTTCAGAAGCAATGGAAGGGGATGGGATCAAGGGCATAATTAGAGGGGATGAACTGGGCAAACAGAAAAGCCATCCCTTTATCAAAGAATGAAGCAAAGGGACTGGGAGATGACAAAGAGCAGTTCTGAAGTGGAGAGGTAGAGAGAAAGAAAGGGGGGATCACGACAGATGGTGTCTAATTTCTCCACAGAGTACGAGATGATGTGCCCTGATGAGAGGGCACAGGGAAAAGGTTGCATGGCTGTCTAAAAAGAAAAGATAACATTCTGAACAGCTGCTGTGAAAACTGCACTGGAAAGTGAATAGGAATGCTGCACAGCAATGACAGTTCAGCTGATGTTCTATAACACAAATGTGCATTGTACCCACTCAGCTGAGTTGAGTGACTTCCTCTCGTGGCACTAAACAGTATAGAGGTAGAAATAAATAAGGTGGATGGAGGAGATAAAGAAGAGCTGGAATTTGGCAAGGCACGAACAACAGGATTTGAGAGAAGAGGACATTATAATAAAGTGTGTAATATAATTAAATGTAGGGTTAAGATTCCAGAGAGAGGAAAATGAGGCCAGAGTAGGGGATGGACTAGGAAAGCAAGTCAAAGGTAAGGACAAAGAATAGGTTTTTAAGAGGAGTGAGACAGAAGAAAGATAAATGGGCAGGGGTCAGAGAGAAGAATTTCAGAATCCTAGCTTATATAGTTCAAACTGTTACGTGTGACTGAAATCAAGAGTCTAACCATCTTTGTGAAGTGCACAGAACAACCACATCTGATGACAAGAAACTACAGAGTTCTCTTTTTAAAAAAAAAGCAGCTATGAATATCACTGGCATTAAAGAAGTAAACAGGATTAAAGATAATGGGACAGGTCATGTAACATAAGAAACTACTTAGAACAACAAAATTAATAAAAATATTAATCTTCCAAATCTGTACAACTTACAAAGCCCTTTTATATCCATGATCTCATTTGAGTTACTAAAAACAAAGCAAAACAATCTGTGGCACAGGAAGAACAAAGGTAAGCATGATCATTTTACAGATTTTGAAGAAACTGAGGCTCGGTAATGGGTGTCATGAGGCTTCAGCTTAAGTGCTTGATTTCTCCTGCAAAAGCAAGAGTTCTTAACCTTTTTTGTACCATGGAGCCTTTCTCAGAATGACTTTAAATATATAAAATAAAATACATAAAATTACAAAAGAAACCAACAATGCTGAAATATATATATATGTGTGTGTGTGTGTGTGTGTATATATATATATATATATATATATATATATATATATACACACATACATATACATGCATATATATGTAAACAAATTCACATACCCCAGGTTAAGCACTTTTGTGTTCGACTGTATTACTCAAAGTCAAATGTCAAGCAAGGGACAGAACTGGGGACTCATTCCAAGGCTTTCTGACTCAGAATGCTATAACAGAGCCTTAGACTGGTGGTCAGGATGAATTCTAAGTGACAGTTCAACTGGTTATTATTTTTATAACTTGGGGCAAGCCACAGAATCAAAGAATACGAAGGGAACCCAGAGGCCACCTATGGCAATCTTTACCTGAAGTGAAATTCTCTCTCCAACAACCCCAACAAATGGTCATCAAGCCTCTGTTTGAAGACCTCTAGAGACAGAAAAACCACACCATCCAGAGGCAGCCCACTGCACTTTGGCACTGCTAATTATTGTGAAACTTTTTTTTTTTTAAACATCAAACTTCTCTGTAACTTCTACTCGGTTTTTCCAGTTCTGCCATCTGGGGCCAAGCTCAGCAAGTCTAAGCTATCTTTCACATGATAGCCTCTTACATATTGAAACTGCTATCACTTTCTAGTCTCTGGACTCAATACCTCTAGTGCCTTCAAAGATCCTCATTCAGCATAGTCTCTAATTACCTCACAGTGCCAACCATCCTTCTCAGGACATTCTCCAGCTCAGTACTGCCCAGCACCAAACACATTCTGTACGTGGTCTGACCCTTGTCTCACATCATGGTAGCTTTTGGGGTTGGTCTGTCACATCACAGACGTGTAATCGATACCCTCTAAACTCTTTCTGTAACAGCTACTTGTTTAAGCCATATATCACTCATACTATATTTGTATTGCTGATTCCTTTAGCTCAAGATCAAGACTTCAAATTTATCTTTATTAAATCTCATCATAGTAGATTTAGCCAGCCAATATAGCTTACTGAGACTGTCTGCGACCCAGGTTGTCCACCAATGTGCCAGCTCTGTTTCGCAGCTTCACGTCATCTACAAATGTGATAATCATTATCACAAGAGCAGAGAACTCTAGATCTACAATTAGAAGAGACCTTAGCAGTCATCTAATCAGACCTCCTCACTGCACAGCTGAGAAAACCAACTCAGGGAGCCTGACCTGACCAAGCTCACACAGCTAACATACATGAACCCAAGGCCTCTCATTCCAGAACCAGTGTTTTTTCCTATACCAAACTGCCTCATATACATCTCTGCCTTTATCCAATTCACTGAAGAAAAATGGTGAACATAGGGCCAAGATCAGATCCCTGAGGCACTCCACTACAGACCTTTATCCTCCAAACTGATGTCACTCCATTAATGATTCTTCTTTGGGTTCAGTCATTCAACCAGTCCTGAATACACTTAAGTAGCCCACATACCGACCACAAAGATAACATGACAGATTTTGTCAAATGGCTTGCTGAAATATAGGTATACGCAATGACACTCGCCTATTCTACCAGTCCAAAGTAAAACAAATGAGATTTGTCTGACATGACCTGTTCTTAGAGGCAGTATAGTATAGCAGATATATTGGACTTCGAATCAGGAGGATCTGAATTCAAATCTTTCTTACTAGCTATACGTACTGTATGTATGACCCTGGACAAGTCACTTCCCATCTGTCACCTT